GGTGTTTACTCTGTGTGATTATCAGCCGAGCTGGGTTGGTCAGTGTCCCAGCTGTGTGTGATTGCTTTTGTGGAGATTGTTTAATGCTTAATGTTTAATGTTTGGTTCAGTCTTATCTGCTTCATTGCCTTGGTGTTTCTTCTTTGATATCTTGGCAGCCCGATATTCAGTTTATTTTTGGTACGTATTGGCTGGGCCGGCTGGGACAGACTGGGTGGTGACGCGGCTATAGGTAGTAACATTCTGAGGAGATTGTTTTAACTTTTAAAACTTTGTTAAAACTTGTTGTATATCTTATTTGTTAGCCATGTCTAACTAAGTTTATTATCCCACTGTCCTTTTATTCCTTCTCATCATCCCATTCTGATATCTTTGAGTGATTTATTGTTAGTACCACTGTAAGGCTAACCTTGGCTAATATAGATAGCCCAGATTGTTTCTCCTTCAATTTGCCGGTTGTTTTCTATCAAATGATATAGAACTAGACAATACTCCAAGGTTCCTGAACCCTACATGATCCTGGCCCAGAATGCCACCCCATTCAAGCCAATGAGTTAAGGCATCTAGCAAATGCAAAGTGTATAGTTTGCCCAAGGAAGATAATAAACTGATTGGATGATAGCAGCTTGGGTCCAAGCATTGACCCTTCTTGAAGATATAGGCACTATTATTGTGTGCCTCCCAAATTTTCGGTTGAACCCAGACATCTCATGTTTATTTGCGAAAACAGCAGAGAAGAAGAAGAAGAAGAGATTGGATTTATACCCCGCCCTTCACTTGGGAGTCTCAGAGCGGCTTACAAACGCCTCTCCCTTCCCCTCCCCACAACAGACACCCTGTGAGGTGGGTGGGGCTGAGAGGACTCTGACACAAACTGCTCTTTTTCAAGGACAGCTGTGCCAGAGCTTGTGACTGACCCAAGGTCATCCAGCCAGGTTGCAAGTGGAGGAGTGGGGGAATCAAACCCGGTTTTCCCAGATTAGAGTCCGCGCACTTAACCACTACACCAAACAGGATCTCTGCCCAACGAGATGGATTTAATTTGAATTATTGTTTGGGATAAGGTCTGCTCCAGGGGCCTTCCCTTAATGGAGGCAATGGATCAAGCCTTCATCTTGGGAAGGGGTCACCTCAGCCCAGTAAGGAAGAGGGCTGTTGGGTTCAGCTTTCTCTGATATAAAAAGTTTGCTCAGAATAGCAAACAGGCTTTTAAAATATGACTCCCAGACTTCTGGATGAATACAGAAGTGAATGCTGCCATACTTTCTAGTGCCAATATTAATAATTGCCCAAAATGCCAAGTTGTTATTTTTTACAGCCAAAATTAAATGTCCTCAATTCTTATATAAGTTCCCATTGTTTTTATACTTTGCTTTATTAGATCTCTATAGTATCTCTTAAGAACGTAAGAGACGCCAATGTTGGATCAGGCCAAAGGCCCATCCCGTCCAACACTCTGTGTCACACAGTGGCCAGAAATACCAGGTGCCATCAGGAGGTCCACCAGTGGGGCCAGGACATTAGAAACCCTCCCACTGTTGACCCCCCCCCCAAGCACCAAGAAGACAGAGCATCACTTGCCCCAGAGCCCCTATCTATACCTTGTGGCTAATAGCCACTGATGGACCTCTGCTCCATATGCTTATTTAATTCCCTTTTGAAGCCGTCCATGCTTGTAGCTTAAGAGACAAGAATTCCCTCTGAACAGGTATGGTATTATTGCTCTTAAACTCCCTATGTTTTCACTGTAGTTCTCTTTCGAGAAGTTTGCACTACTTGTCAAACCATGTACCAGAATTTTGGGGGCCCAGGGGCTTCGCAAAAGGAGCACTGTCAGGCATAATTTTAGAGTACGAAGCCTTAAAGAGAGACAAAAGCCTACACAGGATAGTGAGAGAGCTCCTAGCTACATCAGACCCAAGTAATGATCTCCTTAAAGATAACACTCCTGGGGATACCATCATATCTTGGGCGAGGTGAGCAGTGTTGTCATTCAAGCAGATTTGACATCGGGAGTTTTGATTCTGGCATATACAGTCTTGCCTGACTACAGAGAGTTTGACATAAGGCATATTCATGTGCAAAACAATAGGGAGATGATCACTGCTGTGCAGTTCTGGTCACCACACCTTAAATACTGTGTGCAGTTCTGGTCACCACACCTTAAAAAGGATATTATAGCTTTGGGAAAAGTGCAGAAAAGGGCAACTCGAATGATAAAAGGGTTGGAACACTTTCCCTATGAGGAAAGGTTAAAGCTCTTAGGGCTCTTTAGCTTGGAGAAAAGACGACTGAGGGGTGACATGATCGAGGTTTATAAGATTATGCATGGGAAAGAGCAGGTAGAGAAAGAGGTACTTTTCTCCCTTTCTCACAATACAAGAACTCGTGGGCACTCCATGAAACTGCAGAGCGGTCGGGTTAGAACGGATAAAAGGAAGTACTTCTTCACCCAAAGAGTGATTAACACATGGAATTCACTGCCACAGGAAGTGGTGGAGGCTACAAGCATGGACGGCTTCAAAAGGGAATTAGATAAGCATATGGAGCAGAGGTCCATCAGTGGATATTAGCCACAAGGTATAGATAGGGGCTCTGGGGCAAGTGATGCTCTGTCTTCTTGGTGCTTGGGGGGGGGGTCAACAGTGGGAGGGCTTCTAATGTCCTGGCCCCACTGCTGGACCTCCTGATGGCACTGGTATTTCTGGCCACTGTGTGACACAGAGTGTTGGACTGGATGGGCCTTTGGCCTGATCCAACATTGGCGTCTCTTATGTTCTTATGTTCTTATGCCTCCAAAGGACGAAACTCCCAGGAAGCTGGCCAATGAGCTGAGATCAGAAGAAACAATTAAATAATATATAACACTAACTCCCTTGAAGCCCAAGGATATGGAAGATTTTTGAGGGGGTCACAAGCAGTCCCTTATTATTCACGCCTGAATTCCTAGTTGTTGGGATCAAGCTTGGATATGAATCTTTTTTTTTAACTGGGGAAAGATGTATGAAAGGTTGTGTATACTGTGCAAACGAACAACAGCAACAAAATACTGCCTAGGGGTGATTTTATTCCCCTTTGTTGGTTGTAGGAGACTGGTTTTGGTGCAGAAGAACGGAAACATCTTTTAGGGATAATTTCATGTGAAGTGAACCACCGCTGTTTGTTAATAATCAAAGCAGAAACATGGAGGGGAACCAAACGGAAGCTTAAGCCGGTTTTCTCTAATAGGGCAGGAAGGACCTAAAAAAAAAATCACGTTGACATCTCTGGGAGAGCAATTAAGGGGATAAGCCAAATGCTCCTTAATGAGCTTTCCCCTTTCCAATCAATAATTCTCCCTCAAAAGGGGCATATGAACAGTTATATTTTACAAGTTTCTAGCACCAGAGAGGTTCCTGTAGGCTCCCTAGATGGTAATTTTAGCCTCCTTGAAAATTGCTTTGAGTACAGGAATGGGTTTCAGGTAGAACCATCCTGAGATACGGTCTGACGCACACACCCCAACTTGATAGGGTTCGGTACAAGGCACTGGTTTTTATTGTAAATCTTTCCTAGAGTCTCAGAAATTAGAAAAGTCTGAAAGTCTGGAAGCTGAAGGGTATCCTTCTCAGGGCATAAATCCTTTTTCTCAGTGAGTAAGTCAGGAGAGGGCAGCATGGAATTATGTTTAGGCAGTGTAAGATTATGAGTTAGCACTGAAGAATTAATTTGTAATTCATTTGCCTCTGAGAAAAGAAGTGTTATCTTGTAAAGGCAAAAAAGGATTACTAGTTTTAATATAGTCAAAGAAGGTAGCCAGCTTAGAGAGATCCAGCAGCTGGTTAAAATAAAACAAGTTAATTATAAGTTTTAAAAGCTCTGTTATAACTCTAGAGGGTATTTAAAAATTGCTCCCCACCCCATCACCGGGAGAGAGGTAAAAACTAAATTACAATTAGCACAAAAGGAGCTAAATTGCTTAATCACTGGGAGGCAGAGGCAGACTGACAAGAATCTATTGATACTGATCTATTGATAATTAAGTCAGATAATAGCCTAGCCAAGTGCAGTTAATTAGTACAGCTGGCACAAAACCAGTTTAACTAATTAGATGAATAATAATTCTAAAGCTTAAAATGAAATGCATAGTGCACAGCTCATAAAATACAAAAAAACCCAAATGAACAAACCCCCCCCCAATGAACAAATATATGCATAAGGTCAACACAACAATATTAGTTCCTCAGAGGAGGAAAATGGTAGAGAAGAAAGAGTGAGAGAGATAATGAATAATGTGGTAACAAAAAGAGCACTCGGTGTGAAAAATCCTTTGAATTGTTTTTCCAGCCACTCCTACCACACCCATCCCACACTGGAGAGGGAAGGGATACTTCAACACTGAACTTACAAGACAGATAGCCGTGTTTGTCTGTAGCCGGCGAAAAGAGTAAGAGTCCAGTAGCACATTAAAGACTAACAAAATTTGTGGCAGGGGATGAGCTTTCGTGAGTCACTGCTCAGGCCACACAGATCAGTTCCCCTGGAGCAGTGAGTGGGGACTCACAAAAGCTCATACTCTACCACAAATTTCGTTAGTCTTTAAAGTGCTCCTGGACTCTTGCTCTTTTCTGCTGCTACAGACAGACGAACGCGGCTACCCATCTTGATCTAGCACATTCTGACTTTCTCTGAAAAAGTGAGCAGTGACACACAAAACCTCCTCCCCTGCCACAAATTTTGTTAGTCTTTAAGGTGCTCCTGGACTCTTACGCTTTTTTTACTGCTACTGAACTTACCAGGCGGAGATAAAAGGGGGAAAGAAAACAAGCCAGAATAAAAGCTCAGTAAAGTAGAGCAAAGGTAAAGTACTAGAGCTAAGATAAAGGGAATTGAAATAAATTGATAAAAGCTAATATAATATGACATTAAAAATAAACGCCCCAGAGACAGAGCAGTGCCTCGTAACGTCCTGCAACAACACTCCGGAACCGGAAGTCCTCAGAAGCGCCATTTGTCCTCACCATAGCCTTTATTAATTTTTTCAAAGACTGGGAGCTTGGGCCTCTCCGCAAAGGCCTCTGCTTGGTTCACCAAAGCCTCCTTTACCGCCTCATAGCCCGTCAGAATGACCATTTTCTGGAATCCCATTTCGAAGCTGAAGACAGGACCGTACCTCTTGGATAACTGAAATGTGATTTTTTTAAAAAAAGTGGGGGAAAAACAGATCAGGTCTTCAAGAGAGTGGACAGCATACTCACAACCAGTTTAGTATCAGTTCAAACACCACACCCCTGGGTAAACAAAAACATTTAAAACCGGCACCGATCATTTGACAAAAAAGTGGCAAGCAGAAGTTTCCCTGCATTTTGTGGCTATTCACGTAATCAGTACACACAACAAGGCTTTTAAGTAGGGTCCCCAAGTTCTGGCTGGGAAATTCCTTGAGATTTGGGAGTAGAGCCTGGAGAGGGTGGGGTCTGAGCAGGGGAGGGACCTCAGTGAGGTATAATGCCATAAGGTCTGTCCTCTGAAGCTGCCATTTCCTCCAGGGAAACTAATCTGTGCTGCCTGGAGATCAGTTGTAATTCTGGGAGATCTCCAGACCCCCACCTAGAGGTGGCACTGGCAATCCTACAGATAAATCTTAATAATCAGACAGACCAGGTTCATATAGGAGATGACAGTCCTTAAAGTACCCAGTGTCCTTATCCTCATCCTCCCCTCCTGGTCTCCTTCCTAGGTTGGAAGCTTTCAAGAGGCTGGGGGACTAGGGTCCATGGTTGACTTTGGACCCCATGAGCAGGGCATCCTGCCCCTTCCACTCCTTTCATCCTTTTAAATTTGCTGCCACCACCTGGATTTGCCTCCCCCATGCCAAAAAAAACACCTCCCTTCCAGTGGACTGGTGTTGTGAAAGTGAGGAGTTCTGTTTATGTGTGCATATGAGGTAATTATCCCTCTCCTTTGAGCCCCTAGCTAAATCCTCTCTCTGGACAAGAAGGAGGAGGAAGAGGAGGAGGAGGAGGAGGAGGA